GGGGGGGCCTCTCCCCTCCTAAGATGAAGCCAGAGGGGCCCCTTCGGGAAGGTGACCGCCCTGGGGCCTCTTGCTTTGCAGCAAATCCCCCAGAGCTCGTGGTGGGAAACGGTGGACTCTGTGGGTCAGGGCTGGGGCGCAGAAGGGGGGCTTCCCCCCATCCCGGGCCTGAGCCCCCCGGGGACCAGGAAGGCTGCAGGGACTCCCCACGGCGGGGACCCCTGGAGGCCCCCCCACGCCCGGCATCTGGTCAAGATCTTTCCCGGGTCTCGAGCTGAAGCTATTTCACAGTCGCACTAAGAAGCTGCTGCCTCCCCGGCTCGGCTCCAGGACGTTTTCCAGGGGCCACAGGAAGGCACCCGTGTCTGCGCAGTCTTCCGCTTAAAATCCTGACGTGGCAAATGCGGGCAAACAGCCCACACGGTGAAAGCTCGTTGGCGTCTTCCAGAGCGTCCACGAGTGTAACGCGGTCCCGAGACCCAAACGTTTGAGAGCCGTGGGTCTGGATGAACCGCGGCCGGGCCCGCGTGGGAGAAGCCCGCGGCCGACGCCTGCGTTCCGTCCGGCCCGAGGTCGGCGTGACCGGGCGTGGGCCAGGCAGCCGCGAGGGGTCTGCAAGCCCTCCCCTCCTCCCGCGCGCTTCCACGGGCGCCTCGGAGCTGGCGCGGGCTCGGCGCTGACCGCGGGTGGCGGCCGTGGCACAGCGTCGGGGAGGCGCTCCGAGACCAGGCAGACTTTTCGGGGAGTGAAAGGGAGGTGGGAAGGAGAGGCGATGCTGGGGGGCCACTGAAGGCGGCAGCCTGGGGGCTCCACGGGGCGCCCCTCTCCTCGAGGCCTGGCCTCATCTCCCGCCCGGAGCCCCGGCCCCTCGCTCTCCATCCCGGCGCCCCGGGGTTCAGGCCTCTGTGCACATCCCAGCCCTGCCGCTTTCCTGCTGTGAAATCTCGGGTCAGTCACCTAATCTCCGGTGCCTCCGTTCCTCAGAAACTGAGCTGGTAAGACAAGGGGTGTGTTGAAGAGCTGGCCTAGGTTGTGGCCACGGGCCGGAAGGGCCCGAACACCAGCTGTGTGGGGAAGGAGGGTCCCCTTTCACACTCAGGGTGATGCTCTGGGGGTGAAAGGCGCTTAACGCCTGCTCTCAAGCTCCCTCTGCTGGGCTGCTCAGAGGCAAGAGCAGAGATGAACCTGAGGAACCAGAGGGAGGGCAGGTGGGCCTCCCAGGTAACCTGTGCTGGGAAGGCCACACAGCGTGCTCAGGTGGCTCTGGTGAGGGACGCTGACCCATCCCCTCCTGCCAGGACCTCCTCCATGCAGCTTGAAGCCACACGGCTGTCCTCTGGTCGTCACTGTCACGGCTCCCCTCAGCCCAGGCCACGGCTTCCTGGGATGACGCCCGGGCATCCTGTTGGGAGCAGCGAGGACTCTCCAAGCTGGCCGGCCGCCCGGCTGGAGGACAGCTGAGCTGCAGATACGAATCTCGGGGGAAGTGGGGGTGGGCAGGATGTTCGGTTTCCCTGAGTTTTCCATGAACAGCCTCTTCCAGTAAAGGCTGTGTCCCCGGCGTTTCAGGAGGAGCTGGGAAGGACCAGTGAGCTCTGATGGCCTTCGGGTTGAGACCTGAGCACCACCTTTCTCAATGCCACCGACACCCGCAGCATGGAAACCGTGGCCCCTCGGCTAGAGGGACACCAGGGATGCAAATTAGCCCTAACAGCAGCTGGTTTCGAAGGCGTGAGCACGCGAGCCCCTCCGGGCTCTGCGTGTGCGTGTGCGTGTGCGTGTGAGCTGCAGCCTGAACCCCAGGGGTTTCCAAGCTTCATGACAACACACGATGCTTTCCCCCGTCCCAGCTAACCACTGCCTCGGCGAAGCTCTGCAGAACATCTGGGGTGTGTATTTCTGGAAAAATCGGTGTCTTTTCCACAGCTCTCTTCCTGAGCATCATGGGCTCTGGTCCGATGGGAGACTCTGCCACAGGGCTGCCCTGGGGGCCGGGAGCTGCCCGGAGCAGACCGGCAGCCACTGAATGGACCTGCTCAGTTTCACTACTGACCATCTACCCGGTGCCACTTGGACCAAAGAATAGAGTGGAGCCCCCGAGGATGGACGCGATGCGCGTACGAGGCCCCTGAGAAGCCGCCTTCCCTCCAGAAAAGCAGTCATTTCACGTCCGTGTCTGCTCCAGACCCCAGGCCTTGTCGGTGGAGCCGGAGCTGAGATCTGAGGAGTCGAGCTGAGGCAGGAGGAGCTGCCTCTTGCCTGCCCCTGGCCTCGGAGCCCAGAGGCTCCGAGCGCCTCCTGCCTCGCGTTTCCGCAGCCAGACGCCCAGGAGAACGTCCTGCTGACTTCACTCGGACGGGAGGTTCCCCAGGACTAAGAAGGTTCCCCAGCCTGAGCATTTTAATTCTACGTCCTGTTGGTGGTCACGGCTCTTTTCACTAAAAGTCAACCTCATCAGTAATTTCTTACCATTTCCTTACTAGGTTTACGTCTTATAAAAAAAAGATTTAAGAGGAAAAAATGAAAACCTCAACAACAAGAGGTCTTCTCATTGTTAAAGGAGCAGAGCTCAGAGGGACAGGACTGGACGGGAGTTTCCCGAGCCTTCGAACCTCCAAAGGGCAGAGATGACCATAGCCTGGCTCTGTGACATTGTGAGTTTACTAAAATGCCCTTTGAAAATGTTTGAGGGTTTGGATTCCCGGTAAACAGAACCATGTTTTATTACTATGGCAATGGTCCCCTTCTAATTTATTCTAGCAACTAAAGGAGAGAGTTCAAAAGATCTTCGGGGTTGAGGCCAAATCCCCACATAGCAAAACTGAAGAACAAAAGGAGACCGGGGTCTGTGCCCAGGTTCTGGAGCCTGTGGAAGGAAACTGACAGGAAGCGAGCTTCACAGACCCGCGTCCTCTAGCCGGCCGGGCTCCCCGGGGACCTCGGCTTCCGTGCAGGAAACAAAGCCGCGGGAGCCGAGCGAAGACGGAGAAACGCCTTCCTTTCTCTTTTCTTCTCTCGACGCAGAATACTGGTTAAAAAAAAGCTGTAGAAGAGGAACTTTTACATACAGGCTCTCTACTTAGTTCTACAAAAAGTATGACTAAAGCAAGTGAGAAGGTAACCTGCAGGCGGTGACAGACTTTAGTGTAGAGGAGAAATCCGGTGCCTGGCAGAGGTGCAAGCACTTAACGGGTTATTAACGTTTGTTTTTAGAGAAACCTTAAACCTGCGCTGGTTACACGTGTTTACGCTGACGACCAGCAACTCTCAGGCCCCTCAGGAGGGTTTACAGTAAACATGCAGCTTCCTCCCCATGTGTAATAAATACTGCGGACGTCAGAGCTGCACAGAAGTGAGCCCGCCCTCGTCACACGATCCGCCCCAGGTACACGGACTTGGGGTACTTCTGCTTCAGGGTCGGCCACTGCACCACGAAGTAATCGCAGAAATGGTGCAGGATCTTCCCAGACAGCGACAGGTGCTCCACCCGGCAGATGCTCTCCACGTAGACGATAGTCACTCGCTTTATCCCCAGGACCCCCAGGAGGAGGGCGGACACACAGACAGGAACGCAGGTCCCTGGCCCGTTACACAGCACCTTGAAAACAGAACGGTGAAGAGCGAATTGAGAGAGAACACTATTCTAAACGAGGCGTTTGCATGAAAAACAGTCCCATCTCTGAAGGGATTTTCCCCTCAGTCTTGAACGATTCCTTGTGAAGATGCAATATGTAGCCAACCGTGCGCCTTGGCGCCTGGTGGGGCCGGGTTGTGGGCTCTCCCCCCACCAGGCCTGTGCCGGGGGAGGTCACTCCACTGCCCTGTGCTAAGGGGCGTCAGCACAGTGCCTGCTGCTCAGCCAGCACTCACGGGACAGCTGTGTTGCTCTTCTCTACGGCTTTCACCCTTTTCATGGCCTAGTAATATTCCATCATGTATTTGTACCACAGCTTGTTCATTCAGTCGTCTACCAACGTACACCTGGGTTGCTTCCATGCTTGGCTACTGTAAATAATGCTGCACCGAACGTGGGGGTGCATATATCTTTTCAAATTAGTGTGTTTGTTTTCTTCAGATAAATACCCAGAGGTGGAATCACTGGGTCATAAGGCAGTTCTATTTTTAATTAAAAAAAAAGTTTTTAGTGATTTTAGCCAGAGGAAGGGAGGCGAAAAAGAACACAGGTGCTATCAGGTCAACACTTTATGGTTTGTTACCAAGAGCTCCGACTGGTCTGGGGAAAACAGACTTTGAGAAGGACAAGCATGGATTTCCTCAGGCAGGGTGGGAGCCCTGGACCGTGAGCTGGGGAGCAGATGGAGTGACCCCTGGGTGAACCTATGGGGACCAGGAGGGACAGGGAGTGGGGAGGTGGCAGGGGAGGGAAACTCAGATTTGGGGCTTTGAGGATGTGGCCACACTGGCTGGGCAGACACCTGCTTAGAGAAAATAAATATTTAGCTCAAGAGAACAAACCTGTCTTCACAGACTGTCAGCTGCAAACATTTAAAAAACTCTCGTCAAAGGTTTGTGCGAATGGTTTCAGCAAGAGTGGGGCTGGAGGACCGAGAGCCAGCAGCATCTTGCTAATGAGGGGGACCTGCCGCCCTTTGTGAGCTCACAGCTGGTCCCACTGCAGGTCCGTCCTTGGGGCAGAGTCCAGAGCACGGAGTTCTGACGTCACCGACGTGAAACTCAGAGGTTGGTGCTCACATTCTGGGGAGACACGGGCAGGCGCGTTCTCTCTGTAACACCGAGGTCTCGGCAGCAGGGAGCTCCTGCTGTCTTGAGAGGGGGTGACACCAGCCCTGTTCCCTATCGGAACCCCTCCCTCTAAAGGCGCTGCAGGCCTCACTGCCTCCTTAGCGAACTGTGGTGGCCGTGAGGCCCCTGAGCAGGTGTGTAGCTGTTTGCTCACTGGTCTTAGAGAACATCAGAGTTTGCCCTGCTGACGCCGGGGGGCGGGCCGCGTGGAAGGGGTCACGCTGGCTTCCCTCCCGCAAGGAGCCGTCCCTGTGGGAGCGGGAGCGGGACCCCGCATCTCGCGTTCCCTGTGGAGGAGGGATCCTCCTGCAGCTGATTTAGCTCCACTTACGTCCAACACCAGACAGAACTCCATGACCAACCAGGAGGCTTTGTGCTGCGAAAAAACGAGAATCACAGCAGGAGGCCAGGGGAGACAGGGATCCCCAAAACGCAAACTCCCGAAGAGGAAACTCTGGCCTACAAAGGCACAGTCCCCCCGACAACGCGTGGGCGGAAACCGAGAAATTCAAGACGATGAAGACGGCGTCTGGTCCCCAGAGGCTGTTAGAAAACACGAAGTTGTAATTTTTTCTTTTTTAAAATAAAGAGCCCAGGTGGCCCCACAGCACTCGGGCTGTAAAGTGGAGCAGCTGCTGGCGGACGTTTGGCAGCGGATTCAGGTGGAGGCTGCACATCGTGCGCAAGTCCATCTCAGCGCAAACGAGGCGCCGCGTCCTGCTCCAGGTGAGTGAGAAACGCCCGTCTGTCCCTTTCGGCGGCTCTGACACGTCAGGAACGCGCTCAGCCTCTCAGCCAAATTCCCGGGGCGAGCTCGGCGGTGAAAGGTTAACGGAGGAGGGTTATGCAATGTGTTTTTCCCCTTTCCCCCGCTTCACAGCGCTCAGCGGCCACCCCTGAGCTCGGATACCCCGACTCCTTCCCACCCCACCTGACCTGTCGCCTTCAGCACTCGGACTCCCGGAGCCCCAGCCCTTCCCCAGGTGCCAGGGGCAGGAGGCAGCCTCGGGGGCTCGGCCGGTTCCCAGCTCCCACACTCTCCCGCTGCAGGGCCTGCGAACCGTAGGGGCGCCGGCCTGGGCCACAGCCCGCCCCACCCTCAACTGTCTCCTGCGTTCCTGCGGGCTCCCTTCTTTTCTTTTTGCCCTCAGACCAAAGGGAGGCTTGAAAAATGCTAAACAGACGTCACTATTGGTTTTCAGAGGCTGTAAAAATAGAGCCAAAGCGACTCACAGGACACTTTAGACCAGGCGCTGAAGCCTCGGAGTCGGGGCTGCCTGGAAGGCTGTGCCTTTGAACCTCAGATCCTCAAGGCCGCCCTCCCACCTCCCTCCTCTGCCTCAGCCCCGCCTGCCCACAGGGCCAGGTCCCTCCGAGGTCACTGCCTCTGACCACACACCAGGCCTCCCCGAACGCCACCTTGTTCACCAGGCTCCCTCGTCCTGTGCTGGGCTCACACCGAGCTCCGCACCCCACTCCACCTCAGGAAACAGGCCAGCGGTCACTGGGGAGGAAGGGGCCCCATGCCCGGCTGGCCTGGCGACAACTCCAGGCATGAGGTGGGCGGAAAGAGAGAGTGAGGGGGCGGAGGCACGCCGCCTTCCGAAGGAGGAAGCCTGCAATGGATGCCAAGTGGGAGAGCAGCAGCTTAGAAAGCAGAGAAAGACCACTTTCAGGCTCTGGAGAAAACCAAAAATAATCCAAAGCAACCTCTCACTGATAAAATGGCCTAATTTCCACTCAGATTTTGCTCTGAGGTCTTAAAAAACATCCAGCAGAAACCACACTGTTTAAGTGCGTCGTTTCTGGACGGAGCAGCTCTGGCTGTCACCCTGCCAGTGAGTCAGGGCACTGACAGGCACCTTGGCTCACAGCCGGGAAGCAGCCTGTCGGCCCCAAGAAGCCAGATACGTGGAGGTTCCACAGAGCCACGTCTCCCAGCCGACTGACCATGGCTGGACTTGCTAAATGCATGTTCCATTCAGGCTGCTGGACAGACGGCAAGTGTGTGCGTGTGCGTGTGGTGTATGTGGGGGTGTGGTGTGGGTGTGAGTGGGTGAATGAGTGTGGGGGGGTGTGGGTGTGAGTGTGCAGAGGGGCCCATGCTGGGTGAAAGCAACACCAGCGTGATCGGTGTGCATGGGGGCTGAGGACTGGTCCACACAGGAGCAGGGACTGAGCAGGTGCAAATGAGTGGCTCCCAAGGTCAGTCTGTTCACCCTGGAAAACGGGGCAGCAGACAGTGTGGTCCGATGGCTCCATATGTGACTCAGCTGAGCATCTATTCTCACAGGCATCTGGGGCCAGCTGACCTTTCCTTTGTCCGGCTAAGTTTCCTCTGAACATGTCGAAAAGGTTTTTGGTCACCAAAAACTAAAATACCAGATGAAGGTCATTACAGGGAATCCAACCAGCGGCAGTGAGGGGAAGACAAGGTTCCGCCCGGGCTCCAGCTTATCAGGGAGAAGTTAATGGGCTCTCGTTAATGTTCCAAACACGTGTCAACAGGCCAATTAAAACCTGATAAACTACGAAAACAGTGGTGACTGGGGCCACCCAGTTTGTTGCCCAATTAAAAAAAAAAATCAGTCTCCCAGTCACAGACAATGGCCCACTGTCCACGTCACCCGGCTGCCCCGTGAACTTAGACATTTCAGAGCTCACACTGGGCAGGAAACGTGGAAAGGGTGGCCGGGTGGAATAATTGGCTCCTTTCATATGGCGAAGGAGTGCTCAGAGGATGACCCATCGAAACTTGTCCCCAGCCTCAGGCAGACAGGTGGAAATGCTCCCTTTCTCCCAGTTCCCGTTACCCACATAGAATCTGAAATGCATGTTTTACTTGATGGAAATTCAACGTAGGTTCCATTTTCGGGCGCAGAGCTCTCTGGGCATTTCATTTAACATCGGCCAGGTGGGAGCGAAGCCAGGAACACGCCCGGCTGACTTGGGAGCCCTTCCAGCTTTCGGGCTCTTCCTACCCCAGAGAGGAGCCCCGGTTCGGGGTGTGGGCGTCTTTGTTCCGTGGTGACTCACACCACCCTGTTCATTCACTTATTTTTAAGTCATCCTGCAAATATGTGCAAGGCACTTTTCTAGGAAGGGGCGTGGGAACCAGAATCAAGGCCTGGCTCTTGAGAGCGCGCAGCGCTTTCCCCAACACTGTGGGCCTGGTCCTCGAGTCCACTATCAGCAGCCTTCAGAGGAAACCTGCTCTACTTCTCCCCGAACCCAGCTATTCTCTGGGCAACTCACTTTCCAGAAAGTGCTTCTGGTCCCCATACTTTTTTTTTTTAAAAAAATATGTTTTTATTGATTTCAGACAGAGGAAGGGAGAGGGGGGAGAGAAACATCAATGATGAGAGTCATTGATCAGCTGCCTCCTGCACGCCCCCGACTGGGGGTCGAGCCCGCAACCCGGGCATGTGCCCTGACCAGGAATCAAACCCCGCTTGCCTGGGTCCTAGGTTGATGCTCAACCGCTCAGCCACATTGGCCGGGCTCCCCTTTTCTTTTTAAACTCAAGAATAGTCTTAGGAACTCACGATTTCTAGTCACAGACGCCGGGCAAAGCCATGTTTCCTGAAACACCTGACGTCTGAAATATCAGAATCACCTAAAAAGCATTCGATGACCTCGACCAAGATGACGGCCCTTTCCGATTGTTGTTAAGGGTTCGATGCAGGTTCCATGACAAGCTTTTCATCTAACAATCGGCTTGACTGAGACAAGCATGACTTTTAACAGACAGTCAACCAACAGACTGACACACTTTTTCCTCAAAGCAGCACAGTGTATTCGGACAAGAATTAGCTTTCTCCTCGCCGAGCGTGTGATGGGGGCTCAGGAACTGCAGGTGGGTGGGGTGCAGATGGTTAGAGACATGGCTCGTCAGCACCACGGGGCGCGGGGAAGGGCACGTGTGGGGTCCACGCAAATGTACCGGGTGGTCAGTGGCGGCGGCTAGTGGGGGTCGAGGGCCGGGTCGGGCACTGCGCTAATGGCTGCTGAGGGCATGGTGTACGTACCAGATCTGGCTTCAGGCGGTAGGTCAGGGGGAAGGAGAGGCAGGCTGAGTGGAGGGTGGTGAGCACGGTGGACAGCCAGGACTGCTGGACCTCGCGGCTCCTGGGGATGCGGTGGATGTAGTGTCCGGGAGACTGGAGGGAGAGAGCACGGACCCGTCAGCTGGCCGCGGGCACCAAGGTTACACAGTTAGCGTCTGCAGGCAGCGCTTTCTTCATTAGTCTTCATTTTCATCCCCACTGCTTTTAGATTAGGTAAAAAAGCCCTTTTCTTGCTTTACGCAACACACATCATTGGGTTATGGCAGAAAAGTTCCTAAATATGATTAAAAAGATTAAAGTCAGTTCTGACAATAAGTTGGGGGGAGTTTTCTATACAATATGTTTTGGGCAAAGAGCATAACATACTGACGTAGGACGAGCTCTTACAAACCAACATGTAAGACACGTGACCTGGCTTCACAATGAGCAAAGCCGGTGGACAGACAAGTAGAAACAAGGCAACAGTTGGTCACTGCACGTGTGACAGATGGTGACCCAAACACGCAGGAGGCAACGAGGCTCCGTCGGCCTGCTGCCTGGCAAGGCCGGGCGCCCAGCGTGGTGGGGCTGGGAGACAGACGCTTCCGTCCCGCACACTGCTAGGCTCCTGGGGAGGGGTCTGGAATGTCAGCATTTTCAGTGTGTCTACTTTTGACCTAGCAATTCTGCCTCCAGACGTCTGCCCCGACTCACTCGCAGGTACCCACTGGGCATTGTTTGTGTCTAGCAGGGAACAGAGGGGCAGCAACAAGCGACACAGACATAGGAACGTGTGCGAGATGGGCCATTGTCAGTGCTGAAGTGAACACCCCCAACGTGTGTTAAATGCACACGCGCCTGTGCACATGCCTGCACACAGACTAGTATTTGCGTGGAGAAATGGGGACCTGAACGCCACACATTGTAGGGGTAGCATCAGGGTGTTTTCATTTTCCAGGCCATTTGTCTCTGTATCTGTATCTATATTTATACCTGTACATCTCTCTCTCTGTATCTCTCTGTATCTATATCTACCTGTATCTGTATCTATCTGTGTATCTGAAATCTGCAGCACATGCTATTAGTTTCGCAGTCAGAGACACCAACGTTTCCTCCTGGCATCTGAGTTCCTGGGGTTCATTATCTCTGCTGAATGACAGGTTACCTGACCCTCGGCAGCTCAGGACCACTGGTGTTTTTGGCTCTCAGTTCCTGGGGTGGGAACGGGAGTCACTCAGCTGGGTGTTCTTTCCTGTGAAACTGGAGAAGGTGCTGGCCGGGGCAGGGAGCCGAGTCCAAGGTGGCCAGCGCACGGCTGGGATGCAGTGCTGGGCTTTGGCAGAGCCCCTCACTCTGCCCACAGGCCCTTCCACAGGGCGCCTGAGTGCTCTCCTTATACAGCAGCTGGTCCCCCAGATGCCAGGGATCCGAGCGAGGGCGAGACCTCAAGGTCACTCTGTCATCTCCACAAAGGCCTGCTGGTTAACAGGTCAGCCTGTTCCACACAGAAGGGGCACATGGGCTGAGGAGCCGGAGAAGAACTGGGGCTTCGTGGGGCCGACACCACACAGGCGAAGTCTGGGATAAAGGATGTCGAATTTAATGTGCTCCCCTCCCCCCATGGCCTTAGGAACCATCTGCTCCTTGAGAAAACAGAAACCTTTCCTGAACTAGTGAGGATACACACTCTGGCCCTGAGTTTCCGGCGTTTAGAAAGCGGCGTGGGGTTGTGTCTGGAGGCTTTTGCTGTGGTGGGGGAGGGTGTGCACACCTTACACATGCGGCCGCCCCACTCCCCAAGGGACAATGACAGATCCCTCCTCTTACGTTACCCCAGCACAGGAGGGGCCTGGGCTCGGCCTGGACCCTCTACTTTCTTTACTAATTAATCCCTTATCAAGTCACTGCTGCTTCTCCTTCCAGGAGGGGGGACAGAGGTGGGAGGTGCTGAACCAGAAAGTAAACTGAACGGTTCCCAGACCACAGAGCATACAGGCGGCAGGAATGGAGAGGGGAGCCTGGGCCCCTCAGCTTGGCTGTGCTCAACACAGGAGTTGGTGCCGGGGTCTTTGATGCCCCATGTCATCTGGAAGATACACTTTTCCCTTTCTGGGGGAAACCAGAATAAAAACACAGAGCCTTAGAAATAGACCTTTCTGCTGAACCTTAGACCCTGAGGCCCTCTGGTGAGTTCTGCTCAGTTCTGCTGTTTCCCCTACCTGGCAGCCAACAGGTGACATCCTGGTCAGTGAGCGCAGAGTGTGTCCTGCAGTGGGAACACCCAGCAGCACGACCCAGTCTCGTTCCACAACGGCAGGAACAGAATGGGAAAGGGAGACTCTCTCATACTCTCTCTACCATATAGTTAGTGAAACACCCTTTCTATCTACCATTTGTCTGTCTGTCCATCCATCCGTCCATCCTGGTCAAGCTTCCTGACTGAAACGGGGCAGGACGTGGCCTACAGTACTCTGCGCGCCCGCAGAGCCTCCCAGGGTTCCACGCACACACTTGACTGACACAAAGCTAAACGAGTAGTGGCAGGATAGACAAGAAAGGCAGAATGCTCGAGAATAAAAAAATAAAGTGGAGAAGTGAATTTCTTTTCAGGCTTCTACTTTCTCTGAAATGAAGTGAAAACGCTGAGTTAACCACTAATAGAATATGACAGCTCGTAACTGTCAAAGAACCTTCCAGAATGACATCACTGCTGGAAACCACAGGCGTATCTGGCTTTAGGTCTGCGACAAACTAAATAGAGGGTTCTGGTGACGAGACGGAAATAATCCCTCGGAGGACTCCCGATGGCGTCATAAACCACAATAGAGCAGCGTGGTCTATGAGGTCGCTCGCTCTGTCCCCACAGGCAGACGTGCACAATACGCCACTTATTTACCGCGTGCCATGCTGCTTGCAGAGCCCTGGAAACAGGACAAAACTAAAATGGCAAGGTTTAATTCAAAAGTGGTTTCTCTCATCACTGCTGCTTATAATGCAAAGTACAGCACATACCAAAAGGATGTTGGATGGTTCAGGAAGTCGTTGTGAAATTAGGACGACCAGCGCTTACCGCACCAGGTCCTCCCACTACGTGGCAGCTTGTAGGGGGAGCTGCGGGTGCCAGACTGGGTCCCCGGCACCTGGGGAGGCTGCTCTCCGGGCCTGAGTCTGTCTCGCTGTGAAGACAGGTCTCAGGCTCAGGAAAAGAAAACACTCGTTTGTTCTTGGAATGATTATGGGCCTCTGGTCCAGGAGCCTACAGTCCTTCACAGTGGATGTCGGGGGTCCTTTCTGGCCCTCATTCCCCTTCGTCTGCCCACAGTCACCAGTTCCTTGGGGTGAGTCACTCTTCTCAGTCTCAGTCAGGTGGCTGTGCTGGGATTTCAAGCCCCCCTCCCCCAAGAGTAGGCCCGGTGGCTTAAATAGCACAGATGACCTTCAGCCCGGCCACAGCGACTGGCTAATAGACCATCAGGTAAGAGGGATTTGCTGGGCACCCAGGAAGAGAAGCTTCGGTCTCTCGCGTGCCCACAGAGACGGTCTTCCTCTTTCCACTGCCTGGTGCGGCAGAATGGAGCCAGGGTGAGGGTGCAGGTTTGCAGGACTCAGCCGTTGTCAGAATCCTATAGAGGATCAACTGGCCCAGGGCAATGGCTAAACACCAGAGGCTGGAAGGAGGGCAGCGTTTCCAACTCCATCCACTCAGAATCTCACCCAGAGGAAGTCTAACCTCACCGCCCGCCCTGGAGACCGGAGGGTGGGCAGTTCAGATTCCGGAGGAGTCTCAGGCAGTAGCCACCTACGGCTCTAGAACCAGCGCCCGTCTACCTGACCCACTGCTCCAAAACAATCGATGACTCGCTGAAATGCCGCATGGGACCTGTACCTGCAACGGGTTACAGGTTTTCTCACCCAGATATTCACTCACTAGGACGAGCTTCCAAATTACAGGGCTTTTCGTTTTGTTTTGTTTTTACCTTGACGTGTAAGTGGACACAGTTAAGGTTCATTATAAAGAGGGAAAGTGCCTGCAGGGTTAGTCACACTCCAGAAACGCACTTAGCTGAAGGGTGGGTGCAGAACGTGACTCGGACGGAGGCGAGCCCCGGCTGCGACCACATCCTGTGCGAACTCGTTTCTTTCAGGATGGCTCGGGAGTTAGGAGGGGCACCCAGGCTTCCGGGCGCAGGTGCCAGGGAGTTAGGAGGGGCACCCACACTTCTGGGCTGCAGGTGCCAGGGAGTTAGG